AAACATCACTCGAAACTTTTTTCAGCCAGAGCAAATTACGTGCCTAGATTTCTAAGGCGGTCATGTAAAACATGGAATATAGAAAAATTTATAATACTTTATTGTATTAGACATTAAACTGATTTAAAAGTTCTAAATACGAGCTACGAAGCTGGTTCATGAACTAAATAACATGACATATTAAAAGAGACTTACAAAAGTTAGCTTAATAGCATTAGAAGAAAGTTGTAATAGAGGTGATGCAATTCAATATTTTAAAGCGATAAATAATTCTAACGTTATCAAACAATAAAACGCAAACACAATTGCCAGGTCAATCAGTTTAGATAGACCTGCAAGTGAAGTAAAGGGTTAACCTGATTGTATTTCTAAGCAAGTAACAAACAACTGTGCTCAAAGAGAAAAATTCTTTTCAAATAGAATTGTGCCTACCTGGAATCAGCGGCCGATAAAAGTCGTCAACGCTTTGTCAGTTAACTGCTTTAAGAATCTTTATGACAAGCACTAAAAAGTGCAACGGCTGCTATAACCATGCAAACTGGTTTACTACAATCTACTACTACTACTACTACTACTACTACTACTACTACTACTACTACTACTACTACTACTACTACTACTACTACTACTACTACTACTACTACTTCTACTGCTACTTCTAAAAACAAGACTCAATTTTGGGACCCATGGTAAATTAACTAGTTTTTCGGTAAAAAATCTTTTGAGAACAAGATGGATTGGTAGAGTATTTATATTTTTAGCAATACCTGAATACTGTTCATAGAAATGTCCATTTTCAGTAAAAACTGTAATAAGATAATTAATTTCATCTTGAATGCTATGTCCTGAACAAATTTTGTATGCTCGTGCTAAAAAACCATTAAAAATACCAACTGCGGTATTAGGTGAAATAGATGATTTCAGTTTTATAAGTTCGTTTGTAATTGCATTTTTACGGTGTATGGAAAACTCATAATTTGTGAAAGGAGTGATTGGTTAAAGTACAAATATCTAATAAATTTATTTGGTGTTGAGCATTTTTGTATTCGCATGTATATTGGATAGATTTATCTTGTGATTTTGAAAGTGTCAAAAAATAATTTGCGTCGAGAATACTGATACATCAACTAAAGGTTTGGGCTGTGGCAGAAATTTTTTTTAAAAGTATAAACACACAACAAAAACGAAATACTGCCAAAACTTAAAAATAAAAATTGATTAAATATAATAACGATTAACCGAAGAATTTTGAAGCAATGCTTGAAGCAATGTTTTGAAGCAATGCTTGGTGACACTTTGTTTAAAAAATTTGTTTTATGATGTACTACAGGTATTTCAGGCTCCACGCCATCAACATGTGCTACAGTCTTTTCAGGTCCCAAAAGAATCGTTTTTACTACATTTGGAGCAGCATGGTTTGTAACTAATGATGGTCAATGTTCAACATCTTCAAAAGTTTCTGGATTAAATGGTTCAATATCAATTATTTAAAACCCTCTCTGTATATTAGATAGTAATAAATCTTTTGTATATGGTTTGCAAACTATTGGAATAATATCGTAAATGGTTATTGGTCTTGGATTTGTGACCATCCACGCAGTTGTCACTCGCAGTTTTGTAAAACCTTTTTAATGGTCCAAAAACAGTTCTATCCAATGGTTGTAATTTATGGGTGCATTAAGGAGGAAAACTTAGCATTGTAATTCCATTGTTAAATTGAAAGATCAATTTTTATAACAGAAATATGACTTTTATGGCTGTCCAGAAGTAACAAAACTGGAGATTCACGAGAATAATGTTCCTTTTTCTGCAGATGTTCTGCAGATTCTTCCGACTTATTTTCTTCCTTTACCTGCTAACCTTTTCACTGGCTTTTGGATCGTTGTTAAACCAGTTTCATCAATCTTATATTTGCAATAAGGATCAAATTTATATTGATTTCTAACTGTTTTTAAATTTTGAAAAAATTCGCCTATAGTGTGACGGTTAAAGGCAGGTGATCGAGCAAAGCTAGTTGCTTCGGGCGTTCGTAAAGAAAACTTTGATTGTCTTTTTTATAAAACCTTGCACCTAATCAACCCCTTCAATTTCATTTTTGAGCAATGATGATGAGCAGATCTTATCATTTTTTACAGCAAACTCATATGCCAATAATCGTGTTGACTTGTAGAAAGTCCATAGTTCATTTTTTTTGCAAGTAGTAAATAATTTGATAAACTTGTTCATCTTCTGCAGTAATAACTTGTTTATTGTTGTAATTAGACTTAAAAGATTCATTTCGATTGAGCTTCTTTTTATGACAATATCTTTTTAAATTCATTCAATTTATGCAAAACATTCACTGGTCTCCCCACAAAAACTTTATTAACAGCTGCTTTTACTGTATCACATGATGTAGCAATACTGTCTATTTTTTTTTCAATGACTATTTTAAGATCTGAAAATTAAAAAAAGGTTTAAAATAGAATATTTGTTTTAAATAAAGTTTTTTCCATAACTAATATTATGTAAACTAATTGTAAACTTATGTAAAACTAAAAACTAATACTATAAATATTAGTTTTTAACACTATATATTATAACACTATAATTTAATATTATATATTGTAACACTATGTATTATAACACTATATTATAACATTATATATTATATACTATTACACTATAGTATTAAATATTGTAACACTACATAATATAACACTATTTATTATAACATTAAATACAAGGCCGGTGCCACAGGGGGTGTGGGGGTGTGTGACACCCCCCATCAATGATTTTTAGTCGGCAAAAGTGGCCCTTAGTCGGCAAATTTGACCCTTTTTGACAAGTTAGTCGGCAAATGTAGACCCTTTCGATAGGTTAGTCGGATATTTAGACAGTCAGTTGGCAAATGTCATGTCATGGCAGTCGGCAAATTTTCGAAAATGAAGACCTTTTTTTTTTTGTTTTTTTTGTTTTTGTTTTTTTAGTCGGCAAAAGTTGTAATGGCACCCCCTACGTGACACCTACTCGCGGCGGCCCTGTTTATATATTATAACAGTATATATTATACCATTATATATTTTAACATAATATATATTATAACATTTTGAAAATAATTTTATATAACATTTTTAAAATGAAATCTTAACAATTATATAAAAGTTTTTTTTTCGTTTTAAATACATGGCATTTATTCAAACGTATAAAATTTAAACAAAATGTATAAGTTATATCGGGCGCTTTGATTCTCCGATCAAGAAGCACCGCATAGTCAACGATCAATGTGCCCCATTAGGTTCAGTTGGTATATTGATGCCATTAACTTCGGTAAAGATTGAAACACATACAAAAACCAAATTTATTATACACTTAACACATATAAGTTTTAAATAAAATGGTTGTAGTCATACGGAAATCTAATTAAAAAATTACTTGAGCTTGTTTACTACTTTCAGAACATCACCGTTAATGATAAAAAACTGTATTTTCTATTTCTTAAAGCAGAAGATGATCTTATCAAAAATAATACGATTACAATAAAGGGTAGTATAATGGTTAAATAAATTGCAATCTTTGTCAAAATAAGACAAAAATAAACGAGTAAAAGTTAAATGATCATACTGTCCCGGCGATCAATGCGCCCTTATCTTCCCAACAATTGATTTTTATACGTTTTATAAACTTATATTCGACAACTTTTAAATACAATTCTTCAATATAATGCTATTTTCAAATAAATTATAGTTATTTCCTTTAAAATCAAAAATTTCTATAACCATATTAAAATAAATGATCAGTTTTTATTGTTTATATTGTATATATTATTACAACATGTTATAATGTATACAAAAACTGATAATTTATTTTAGTTAGTCTTTTTCCGCAAAGGAGCATTTTAACTAAACCACCCAAATTGCTGTTTAGTATCAGGAATTGAAGCCTTTTTAAAACTTCTTTTTAAAACTTCTAAAAATAAAATAAAATATGCAGATACTTGCCAAACAATAGAATGCAAACTTAAAAAATATTTTTTTCAAGCAAAAATCTTTGAAAAATTTTTGATTTAATATAGATTTTTAATTAATGTTAAAAAATATTAATAAATTAAACCTATTTTTTTAATACCCTCTATTATAGTATATAGTTTGGTTGATAATAAACCAATCTTTCCACCAGAACCTTTGAAGTAAAACTGTGTCAATAGGTTATTTGAACATAATCTATGAAACATAATGAATAAATAATGCAATTTATGAAAAATAAACAATTTACTACAATTGGACTACTACAGCAGTAACAACTCTACTTAAAGAATATATTTACTACAAAAATATGAAACTGATTACTCATACAAAAATACAATTAAAAAAAACTATTTAAAACCAATGAATGAACTTCGTCAGCTGTTTAGACTCTCGACACCTAAAAAAACTCAGTACATTAGCCATATTAAAATTTTCAAAAATAAAATACCGAAATTGTATTAAAATAATTATTTTAATTTTTTAATGTAGAGACAAAAATTTTGCCAATCAAGTCGAACCAAAGTATTTGATGTATCTCTAAGTATTTGATGAAATTCGCATACTCGGCAGCAAGTTCTTACTACTTGACTGCCGAGTTACTACGGGGTTGTTTAATTATTGCAATAACGAGCTCCTTGTTTTTAAGAATATTTGATGTTATTTTGAACATCCTATGTGGGTACTCTAAATTATTTTAAAACATTTATTTATAAAGCTTCAAAATGATTAACAATTATTAATAATCTAAAAATCATACCTAAATCAATCAATATGTGAGCACACTATTCGCATTTTATTGTGAATAAGAAATAAATTAAATGCTAAAGGGCTTACTTCCAGCTTTCATAGAAAACTGATTTATAACTAACTTAATTCGTTAATTAAAACCATTTTTAATTGAAGTCCAAGGACTTCAACCATTGTTAGTTTTTGTTATTCTTCTTTTATTTTCTGATACTTTTTTTTTGGACTATGAGAATGAGGTGCAAAAAATTGGACTGATGCTTTAATGACATGTCAACGTTATACTGGAAATTTGCTTAGTGTAGCTGATTCAGAAGAAAACGTATTTGTTGTAAAACAACTTAACAATGATAAAAATCGCTACTGGATTG